TGTGGTTGCTCGGTTATAAGTTGCTTTATTGTGCAACCGTGGTTCGGCTTCTTGTTACAAGGCTCCCCCTTTTTTTTAAACGATTCTGTGTTGAACTGGGCTGCTTATATATATTTTTCCGTAGCTGTAGGTTCGAGGAAAGGGATAATCAACGCCTTTCGAGACGTGGGAGGTCGTCGGTCGCGTCAATGTTTCGTGTTTGAGGATACGACATACGTACCTGTAACTATTATGCCACAATTTGTTCTAATCGCTGTTGGCCAGCAAATCGATACATTACGAATTACCAAATTACAAAAAGTCCAAATTATTCCAAGAAATTTAACAAATACAACTAATTCACATAGGTAAATACGTATAATTATTTTTCCACAATTTTTTGTGGTCGCTAATGGCGAGGGCAAGTCGATGGCGACGTTAAGCGAATGAAAAAAGAAAGTCAGCCTGATTACCTCAGAGGTTGAAATGCTATCTAATCCTTTTAATCACAGCAGAGGCTATCGCGGAGGAACAATGGTTTAATTAATGACACACCCCTGACGAGGCTTAATGATCTAAGAAACATCGTTAATTAATACTCAGAGCTGTTAGCGTTTACTTTGCGATGCTTTTGCCGCCTGGAGCTTTAATCGATAGAAATCGATATTCGATAGAAGAAGGCGACCGTCGTTGTGTGTGTGTGTGTGTGCGCGCCTCTCGTCTCTGTATTCTCCAACGTGTGTCCCTCTTCCACGTTCCTCGGAGAAACGCTATCTGCACTTATTGCAGGGGTGGATGCCTCCCGGTGGAACTACTCGAAATAACCGCGATCGCGAAATGGTAGTTCCACACTTACAATAAAGCCCCGATGCTTATTTCGAACGAGTTCCAACGTCGCGAACTATTCGATGTAATCGCGACTTTGGAAAGGTTATGCATCCTCCTGGAGACCTTAAATGCGGCTCCGATACACACGCTTGTGAATTGCGTGGAAACGTCGCGCGTGAAATTGATAAGGAATTATTTAAATTTTTCTTGGGTGCGAGCGCGTGGGTATTTTTTCTTTTCTTTTTGCTGCTGTGAGGTGTTTTGTTTTGGTTGTTTCTGGTGTTTCAGGTGAGGGAATTCTTTGTTGGGTCATTTTGCGAAGCGGGAGAAGTTGATTTCGCGGGAGGGAATGGTGGTGTGTCGATTATTTGTATTTTTCACTTTTACAGAACTTTTGACAGTGTTGATAATTTTTTAGTGTTATTTTTAGTAAATAATATTTTAGCGTTGTTAATTTTTGAATGTTTGAACGAATTGCTATGTCAACTATTTGTATTTCTCCCTTGTCGCTCTCATAGAATTTTTAAAGGTTTAAAAGTGAGAAGAGATGTCTTCTTTTCAAACCACCACAGTTTCTATAATAATTATAATTTTTGAAAAATCGGACGCTGTACTGTAGATAATACATTTTCACTCATAAATTCGAAAAGAATTTTTTATTTCAGGCGTGTCAATCTTTTCCAGTGATTGCCGCCTAAGTTTTCGCAATTAGCGAGTAACTCCTCCATTTTGTAACATTTTCTCTTTAAAAAATTTCAGAAGAAAGTTGAAAGTTACATTCACATCCCCAGAAAATATTGTAATTTTTCATCTAATAGTTACCTAAAGAAAAAATTCCCAAACTATACCTACTCTCAGTCGCCTCAGGCTAGCATACCCGCTTAACGCTATAACAGTCGACTCTCAGTCCGATATTATAATTTCGAAACTTGCCAAGCACGTTAAAAAAATAACAAATCTGAAAATACTTAATTAGCAACATTTCCCAGCAACGCGTTAATTTTTCATCGACGATTAAACAGGCGAATTTCCGTCGAAAATTCGCGAACTCGAATGTCGAAGGCCTCGAGGATAATTGATTTCGTAGAAAGCAAAGCTGACGGTGTACGGAACAGTTCTCTGTTGGCTTGTGCAGAAAGGTTACCGCGTTTTTGCTCCAATTATTCGTTTACTTTGACGGAAGAATTAGCGGAACGTGAATCGGAAGAAAAGTTGAAATAAAATTGCAATTCATCTGGCAGAAGTGTACTTAATTCAAGAGGCCACAATACGCGCTCGTATTACACTCTTTTCACGAGGAGTCTACTTAATGGTACATGAAGCAGCAAACCGAGAAGCTGAGAAGCCAGTTGTCGTTTTTCTACTCGTATTTTATCAACAAGTTTCGAGGAGGGAGGGGGGATTCCAATTCTTGAGTGCATCTCTGTTTGCGTGAAAGAGAAGTAGCTGTTGACTTAATTTTTTAAACGAGTTACCAGCACCAGGGAATATGGGACAAACGTCGTTCCAGAGAATTAACAGGCATAAATGCTCGATGAAATGTGATACAGTTGACTGTATGAAGTATTTCTCTGAACCGAAAAAAGTGACAATTGAACGTTTAACGGGGCGAAATAAGAGGTTGATATCAGGTCGTTCTGAAAGCTCCCGCGATTTTAAGCGGTGAAATTTTGAAAAAACATTTTGACGTTTTTATTACAAATAATTTTCATAATTTTTCACACACTTTTGCCGACGTGAAAATCCGAGTCTCTGAGAGAAAGAAGCACCGACAGTGTGAAATATGTTTCTGAATCGAAAAAAAAATGACAATCAAACGTTTAAAAAAAGCGACAAAATAAGGTGTTAATATTATGTCATCTTGAAAATTCCCGCTATTTTAGAAAAATCATAACTCCGTTGAAATGAAACATTTTTATTCAAAATAATTTCCATAATGTTCGACACACTTTTGCCAACATACCATAAGAGCATTAATTAAAACAAAAATTAATTAAGATAAAAATCTGAATCTCAAGAAAAATGCGAATGAATCACCCTTGTCCAAACCTATTTTCTACCTAAAAGGAAAATCGTGCTCACAGTTGGATGATCTACGTCGAGATTAATTCCCTACAGGTTCCGTAATCATGTGCCTTTTTCCATGCTTCGATGGTTATAGTGTGTTCACAGAATAAATAGAATAGAAATAAATGAAATGTAGTGTATGTTGTCGAACCTCGTGTTATATCGGCAAATAATGTAGGAAATGATTTTTTCCCCAACGGATCAATTGATTTTCACGGGGAACAAAGGGGATATAATACATTGAACGGTGTTTGTAATTAAATGCCATCTCGCATCGTGGGATGATCGTGCACCTCTCGGTGTTCCTTTGTTAAAAACGGTCCACTGCGTCCTATATAATTATACAATTCTATGCTGTAGTTTTAATATTTTCGCGGAATTACTCGTCGAACGCGTATTTAAAGGGTTAAATAAGCGATGATTATTAGATCATCCTGTGAGTTCCTGTCGAATTTTATAATCTCCATGAATATTCCCAAAGAAACCTTTAAATTTGATAGATAAAACGTAAGTGCCTCCTCATTCCACAATAGTTTTTTCTTTTTTCTTTTAGTAAGACCATTATGTCGTCTCTACAAAATTTTCTTGGATTTTCATTCAAACATTTTTCTTTTTCGACACGAACTTAAGGGATGACCTAATCTATTTGCGTCAAATTGCAATACAAAGTTACCACTATCACAGACGATTAAGGCTTTTAATGAAAAATGGCACTCGCGCCGAAGTGCCATTTCCAGAAAATCGCTTTCATAATTTTCACTACCGTCATACTTAATAAAAAGTAGCGCAATTAAATGCAAAAGAGAATGTAACACACACCGAAGTCGGCTTGAACAATTTAACGTGCCATTTTTTCACCAGTAGCCTCGATTACAATTCTCTGAAAAATATACAAACTCGTTCGAGCATCGAACAATCTTCACCGGAAGTGTGTAACAAGAGGACACGCGAGAAGGAAACCTTAGGAGAGAGAAGAAAAAAAAAATGACGGAATTTTTCCTGGAGGAAAACGGCAAGAGAGACGAAAGAAAAGAGAGAAGAGAACGCATCAATGTCGTGGGCCGCGTAAATTTGCAACGGGCGTGTGCCCCGTTCCTTTTTGTCGCTCATATTTTCAGGAAGTTTGCGATTCATCCTGTTTGTCTGAGGGGGAGGGGGAGGAAAAAAGGGAAGCATAGCTGGCATCCGCAAAAAGTAATATTTCACCGTAGGAAGGTCGTAAGGCCAATATCAGCGTATATCGTCGGTGACAGCGTGCGTTTCAAAAGCGGATTAGTTCCGGTATTGTATTTACAGGTGGTCGTGAAGTGAACGGCTTAGTTGCAAAATTGGTCGTGCGGTCCGCGATGCATCATAACTCGCGGCATTCGACGAGTTCGGTCGGTTTTGAAATTCCTACGGGAAGAACTTTCCTCGGTAATTGACGCTCTCGAAAACTGGCTTGCTGGATATCACCGGCAGAAACAGTCTTCCTCTTTTTTTTTTGTTTGGAAAACGCTTTTACAATTTTGCTGGGTTCGTGTGATTTTTTAACGGATATGAAAATTCATCGAGGATTGGTGTAATTTATTGTTGAAAATACAGTTGACCTTGCATTTTCGAAAAAAATAGAATATTACTTGAAATATTTATTAATTTGCAAATTTTGTTGGTATGGTGTCGAAGTGCATGACGAGCATTGAATTTTTCTTACTTTTGTTAAAATACAGTTGATTGTGCATTTTCGAAAATATTGGACTGTGACTTGAAATATTTATTAATTTGCAAATTCTGTTAGTATCGTGTCGTGTCGAAGTGCATGACGAGCATTGAATTTCAGTTACTTTTCTTGAAGGTACAGTTGATAGTGCATTTTCGAAAAAATCGAGACTATGACTTGAAGTATTAATTAATTTCATTCGTTAAAATTCTGTTAATATAGAATTTATGGGAGTAATAAGTATTCATGGAAAAGCGACTAATTTTATCTGTTTCTTTAATAGAACTTCAATTAGTATTTTATCGAATATTACGGAATAACTTTAGCAATTAAAATCAGAAACAGCTAAATCAGACTTCCTGATATCCTTATCAAAATTAGACGTACTTTAGCGCACCGTCAGATTAGACTTTTACGTAAAACTTACCGAAAATATCGTTGGGGTAAATTAGGAGAGCTATTAACACCATTAGAAGTACTTTTTGCCGATCCACCATTTTGTCACAGTCATCGGTCCACCTAGAACAATAGGAAAAAAGAAGTTAATTAAACGCGTGGCAAAAGAGTAATACAGCATGCGGGATAATTAAATTGCAACAATTAATTCCTCCTGCCTTCATTAACGAACGAAACTTTTTAACTTTACGTATTAAAATTTCCCTCTCATTGTCGTTATTATAATATAAATTGAAAACTTTTATCTTTTGTTCCTGTGTTGTTCTACAATTTGTCGAATATTTCTCTTTCTTTTTCTTCTCTTTTTTCAACGAACAAGAAACAAAGAAAGAATTTAATTAACGACAACAATGGATAATTGTATCGGCAATTGTCGAAGATTTCCTCTTTACAAAGCCAAGTTTTTCCTTTTTTTCTTTATTCGGTCAGTTTAATCTTCGTGAAACTATCCGCACGCATTACCGACGTATTATTAATTAATATACGAGACTCGCTAAAGCAGCAGCGCTCAAGCGACACTATCCGCTTCGTGCGGATTCTGATTAAATGCGAAATATTGGCAGAAAATCCCGCGATCTGCTTCAATTTCATTCCAATTCGTTTCGTCCTCCGCGGGAACCAGTGAAAAGAGGCGGGAATTAAAAAAAAAAAAAGGAGAATTTTTCGCCTGTGGTAATAGTAATATGGTTCGATTCGATTGAATAAAATCGGAACTCGAAGGAAAATTTCTAAACGAATCTGGAAAGAGCGGAGAGGATTACCTTGTAAGGTAACAGCGATAGACTATTACTCTTCATTAGCTTCCTTGGGGAATGACGAAGCTGAGGTCTTTAGGGAGCGATCGGTGAAATATCGATTGCGAGATGTTATTGTTTGCCTGGACAAGTACTTTCGAGTAGCTTGGCTGTGGCAAAAAATTGGCTTACCTTGTTTCGTTAAATTAGGGGGAGGTTTATTGCATTAAAAAATTGTTTGTCAAATTAGAAAAAGATTTATTAAATTGGACAAAGATTTATTAAATTAGAAAATGATTTATTAAAGTAGAAGATGATTTATTAAATTGGACAAAGATTTATTAAATTAGAAAAAGAATTTGAGAATAAACATTTGAATATTCCTCACGTTTTCCAATTTTTATTCAAAGATGAAACAAAGCTCATTCTTCTGATATATTTATTTTACAAGATTACTGGTTCAATTAATTAATTAAATTTTAATCAAGCAATTTTCCATTTTTCAACAAACCCAAGTAAAATCCTTGGAGATAATTATTTTCTACATCGTTCTACTTAATGTTACATAGAATATTTTTACAATTTTAAACGAAATTAAACACGAAATTCCCTAAAGAATCAGGCAAACGCAAGACGAGTCAGAGAATAATGGATGCAAACGAAATTTTTACACGGTTTAAACTGGAATGTTAGAAGCGTAGAAAAGCGTTTTTCTCGTCCAAGAAAAACGTTCAACGTTCCACATATTATCATCTAAATTCACCACTTATCACCTTCCACGTCTCATTACGTTCTTTTTCACCGTGAGACGCTCTCGTTGGCTCTGTAGGTCGCATTACACTCACTTCTTTCCCCCTTACACCTTCGTCACACATTTCTCTATTTCCTAGTCGAATCAACGTTGCTTCAAGAGATACACGTATCATTCACGGCGTTTCGAGACAAAGAGACTTGTTTAAGCAAATGAAGCCGTAGCGGAAAGTAGAACCGTCCCAGGGAGAACTCTCGTAAAAAAGAAGCTCGCGTGCTTTTTTTCGCCTCCCCGAGAGAGAGAGAGAGAGAGAGAGGCGAAGGTGGAGTGTAATAAAAACATAATCTAAAAACTTTAAACGAGACCGAAGCGCGAAGATAAGAGAGTGGAAGTACACTGTTACACTGGGAATCTTGCTGTTGCTCGCGAGATGTGAATTTTAGATACAAAAACTACCCCCAGTGTCTCTCTCTTTCTGTGCGAGATAGAGAGAGATGGAAGGTAAGAAAATTTGATCTCCGCCAATTGGACCTGGCGGAGGATCTTTAAAACGGCAGCGAGAATCGACTGTTTGCCAAGAAACTGAAAATCTTCGATGAAAGTTTCGGAAACAGTTGAAAATCAGTTTTCGCTGTGTAAGGAGCTTCGATCAGCCTCGTTATCGGCGTGCCAACAGAGATCCGGAAGGAAAATCACGGTCGATCTTAGGAGAGAACGACGACCAAGTGAAACGCGTGTCGCGCGAGTGGAAACATTAAAGTAGCGTAGCTGTTTCTGACAAGATTTCCGGCCCGGCACAATCTTCGCCCTTTCAGTGGGATTTCACGCGCAGGTCGAAATGTCCGATTGTATTAGAGAAGGTGTGTACTATCTGGTAGAGAGAGAGAGAGAGGAGTTGAAGATACAAATGGGGTTTACTTATTTTAATTTAATTAGTTGTTTTAATTGTACGTTTTAACCCTTTCGCTGGTTTTGGAGGTTTGAAAGTTTGCTCACGTTGCGCCCTTGCCGCTCTTTGGCACATTTGCTCTCTTTAGTTCTTAATTTCTCAAGGAAATGAAAAGATTAGGAAGTTCCTTTAGAAATAAAGGTAAATTAAAGAAATTTTTTAGAAATAAAGCTACGTTAAAGAAAATAAAGTGGAATAAATTTGGCTTAAATTAAAGAAAAAAAATAAGGGCATAAAGAAATTTCTTTATTTCTCTATTTTTTTTTTGTTGTATTTTCTTTAACTTGGCTTCATTTCCAAAGAAATTTCTTCATTTCATTTTCTTTAACTTACGCTAAATTAATTTTATTTTATTTTCTTCAATTTAGCAGTTAGCTGGCTGCCTTGGAAATACAATTTTCATTCATGCAACGCTAATTTAATTTCGAGCGTCTCTGAAGCTGCATTTGTCAAATTTCAAACTTCACAACGATTCAGTATCAAGTTTTCTTGTTAAAAAATTGAGGAAAGAATTTTCAAACAGAAAAATCTAAACTGTAACATATTATTCAAAGATATTTTTGATTTAGAACGTTGCACAACTTCGTCATGCGTAATTTTCTAATTTTAATTAGTTTATCCGGTGCACGGACAAACATTTATTGATTACCCAAGGAATACCCATAGTAATATTAGGTTTGGATTTCGGCTAACAAGAAGCTGACACGGTAGCGTCTGCTGAACAGCCAGTTGTACGCAAACAATGCCCCTAAACCAATTACGTGCCTATACGCAGTGATTATTGTACATTGAATCGATCATGGTTTCATACGAACCAAATTTCTCGATATATTTTTCAATGATTTTTCCTTAAGAAATTCTCTGCAGACTATTGAAATTTAAACCGTATGTTTAATTAGAATACGAATCTAAATTTTATGACATAGAAAACAGCAAAAGTTGTTCTTTAAATTTATCAAATTTTTAAAGAAATTTTTCGACCACTTTCAGCGATAACTAAAATAAAGAATAACAATTTATGACCACAATCTATAAATCATTTTTGTGCATTATTTTCTTTGGAATATAAAGAAATGGAAATTATAGGTTCAC